TTTCCTCAGACCTTTAAATTGGCTTTTAAAGGAATAATGTAACAGGGCTCTATTACATTTAACATTTTCTTAAAACCCGACATTTTCACTGCCGATTAGGATCTCTCAGATGTTCTTTTTCCACCATTCTCTTGGTAGCGGTGATGGTGCGCGACGTATCTGAAGAGCGGTAAGGACGTGTGCGTGCGTTGTACCTGAGCGGAGGGGGTGAGTTGTGCTCAACGTACCTGAAGAGCTGGGAGGGATGCGGTGAAGAGGGATGTGCGACGTATTTAAGGACCGGGGTGGAGACGCGCGATTTCCAGAAGATTATCATTTGTTTTCGGGCATCCAGAAGTCTCCAGAAGGGAGACTTGGGATGTCTGGGATTACATAACATTTTGCGAGCTAGTGTAGCGCATGCCTGACTGGAGTGTTTGTAGGTTGGCTCTTTTGTGACGGAGGTCCAGGGTTGCTGGGGCAATGGGGGTGGAGCTAGCACGAGCAGCCAGGCTGACACAGAAGCTAGCAAGATTGCTAATGAGCTCATGCTTTAATAAAGTGATATTCTGAGTTCAAAAGTGATGGTCTACTGTTTAACATGACAGCGGGAAGGCAGCATGTTGTCTGGCACATCATTTGGGATGCCATGTTGAGCGCTGCTGCCCTGAAAACATTATATTTTGTACTTATTCCCTTTTATCTTTTTAGATGTTAGTCTGAATTGAATCGTTCTGTTTATATATACACACTAGGGATGTAACAATATTGTAAATACCGTCATACCGCAATAGTTATTTCTTTACAATATTACCGTAGGCGCATGACTCAATAAAACTATATTTCTGAGAAAAGTTTGCTTAGGCAAATGAAGTGAACGGAAGGTAGAGGGAACTACAATTCCCATAAGCCTAGGCGTGGCCATCATCCTTTGCAGTCTGTTGTCACTACAGATCCAGTAATGCGGAAATGAAGGGTGCTACTAGTAGCGGGAAAGAAAAAGAGCTGGAAATGATTGAACCTAGAGCGAGTTTTAAATCGGATGTGTGGAAGCATTTCGGTTAAGATACGAAAAAGGAGAAAAGGTGACAGACAAAGAAAAAAACAGTATGCAGGCACTGCCAGACTGTGGTGAAATATAAGTCGGGGAATACGACTAAATACAGTCATGGAGACTGCAGAACACAGCACACTTGTTAGATTGATGCAGACATTGACTTGTACCGCAAAGAGAACCTCTATCTCTCTCATGGCTTGTCCTCTCAAGTGGTGGAAAGACAATGCACAACGTTACCCACTGCTGTCAACCTTGGCTAAATCATATCTCTCTGTCCCAGAAACCTCAGTCCCAAATGAGAGGGTTTTTTTTTCTGTTGCAGGGGACATGGCCAGAGATCCCAGCTTTTACCAGATTATAGTTATATGATAATTTTCCTTAAAAAATCCATCTCTATCCAAGTGAGTGAGTGGGTGATAAAATGTTGAATGTGATGAGTTTTCAACAATACTAAATTGAAACTTTTTTTTAAAATATGGTTTAATAGTTTTTTTTTTATTAAAATTGAAAAATTGATGTTCCTGTTTCGAAACTTACAGATAGATGGCTAATTTGTATGTCATTGATATGTTCAGTGCTAAGGTAAATAAACACTTTTAGCACTTTTTTTTCGAGTCTTTTCATTAGTTTTGTTTTTCCTGTAAATTATTCAATAAATACCGTACCGTGCCATTCATACCAAGATATTATCGTACAGTGAAATTCTGATACCGTTACATCCCCAATATACACACACACACTCACACACACTATTGATTATTAAATGTGTTCTCATGATTTGTGATTTTTATTGGTTTGTTTTTTTTTTTTTTTTAAAGTAATCATCTATTTCAATTTTGGTTCTTGGGAAACATTAAAAATAATTGGGACAGTAAAGCATTTACTACTTTGTAAAGTGGCCATTGCTTTTCACAATACTCAAAAGATGTTTAGGGACTGAAGACACCAAATGATGAAGTGTTTCAGGTGTAATTTAATCCCATTCTTCCTTCAAACAAGTCTTAAGATAGGCAACAGTACGGGGTCTTTGTTGTTGCATTTTGCGCTTTAAAATGTGCCACCGATTCTTTAATGGAGACATGTCGGGATTGCAGATGGGCCAGTCAATTACCTGTATTCTCTTTCTTCACAGCCAAGACTTTGTTATGTGTGCAGAAATGTGATTCTGCAATGTCTTGTTGGAATATGCATGGTCGTCCCTTGAAAAAAGGCAGCAAAATGTGCTCCAAAATCTTTATGTATTTTTCAGCATTCATGCCATAACAGAAGTGAAAGTTACTTTTGCCAAGGGCACTGACACAACCCCATACCATGACAGACTCTGGCTTTTAGACTTGCTGCTGGTAACAGTCTGGATGATCCTTTTCTTCTTTGCTCCAGAGCCCACGGCATCCATATCTCATAAAAAATGCCTGAAATACTGATTTATCTGAACAGTTCTATTTTCCACTGTGTGATGGTCCATCCCAGATGCCTCAAAGCCCAGAGAAGTTGACATTGCTTCTGGATACGGTTAACATAGGGTTTCCTTTTGGCACAGTACAGTTTTCACTGGCATTTGTGAATGTAACTACGTATTGTGGTACTTGGCAAAAATTTGCCAAAGTAGTCCTGAGCCCATGTGGTGATATCACTTAAAAATAGATAATTCTTGATGCAGTTCCTCCTGAGAAATCGAAGATCACGGTAGTTCAACCTAGGCTTGCACCCTTGTCCTTTACGCACTGAAATTTCTCTAGATTTCTTAAATTATTTTAATTACGTTACACACTGTTGAAGGTAAAATATATAAATGTCTTCTTAGCTTTGTTTTTTTCTGGAACATTGATTTTTTTAACATTTCAATTTTCATGTATTTGTTGGCAAACTGTGATCCTCGACCCATCTTTGCTCCTAAAAGAACCAGACCTTTCTAAGATGCTGCTTGGGTACGAAATCATAATCATAATTACAATCACCGGTTTCATATCACATAATTATTTAAGCAATTGCTTATGTCCAAACTTTTTTGGAATGCGTTGAAGGTCTGTATTACAGGAAAGGGTGTTTATTTACAAATAAAAGTTGACCAGACAAAACATGAAAGATTTTGTGCAAATTGTCTAAAACAAAATACAAGTCAAAGTAAATTTGGTAATCACTACTTTTTTTTTTTTTTTTTTTTTTGCGTTTTCCATACTGTGCCAACTTTTTTTCTGATTTGGGGTTGTGTTAGGGCCGGACAATGGCAAAAATTATATCACGATATATTTCTTAATTTCGTCGATACGATATAATTCCGATATCGATATGGACAATATTTAAATAATTGATAATAAATATTAATATTAAATAATTGATAATGATAAATAATATTAATATATAAATATTAAATGAATATTAAAAAGACAGGAAAAAACTGCCAAGAACGCACACAACAGTTGTCTGTACCTACTAAGGGTGGAGCCGAACCCGAATACGGTATTCGGAAAGGCACGAATAGCGTGTTTTTACGAATACTTGATTCGAACAAATACTTGAAAAATTATTTGTATTCGGGAGCAAGAAAAACACTATATCAAAAAGCAGCGTTTCCTCATGAGACCACAGTGCATGCTCGCATGAGTGAGTGAGTGTGAGAGAGAGAGAGAGAGAGAGAGAGAGAGAGAGAGAGATGCTCAGTCAGTAGTCGGAGGGTGGTGCGGAGATAAAAGGTGTCTGGCACAAGCTTCTCCACAGCAGCAGACAGAAGGCTCGGCTGAGCGAAAAAAACACTTCACTGCATCACTATTTTTGTTAAATAGATTTTTGTACCTTAATTGGGTTCCAAAGGCAGTTTATAAACTTGTAGCGGAGTTGAAGCGGAGTTTGATAGGGATATTCTATTACATTATTGACGTCTGCAACCGGGTGCTCTGTTTACGCAACGTTAGCTCTGTTAGCGCAGTAATTTAGACAATAGACTGTTGACAGAGTAACGTTAATGTTCGTTTATAAAAGTTAAAACGATGCTTGTGCAGTTGTGTCGAATAGTATGCACTTATGGGAGTTATATGGTACGTCTAAATTAATGTCTTTTGCAGACAGCAAGATATATGCTATAGGCTAGTTAACCTTAGCATAGCTTCCCGTCACTTTTTATTAACTTGAAACTCCTCAAATACATTTGGGCACCCAGAAAAAGAGTGAAAAAGACTGCTGCTGAGCCATTTCTTGGTCCTCCACCAGTTCAAAGAAAAAAAAAACCTTCAAGTTCTGTGGAAGCATTTTACAGTCAGTGGTGCTGCAGATAAAACAAAGTGATACTGTATAATGTTTACAAAAGTGAAATCAGCAGAGGCAGAGATATTAAACATCTGTCAACATCTTCTATCCATAATCATTCATTCATTTTTTTTCGGCTAAATCCCTATATCAATCTGGGGTTGCCACAGTGGAATGAACCACCAATTTATCCAGCATATGTTTTACGCAGTGGCTGCCCTTCCAGCTGCTACCCAGCACTGGGAAACATCCATACACTTTCTTTCACACACATACAATAGGGACAATTTAGCTTACCCAATTCACATGTATTGCATGTGTTTGGACTGTGGGGGAAACCGGAGCACCCGGAGGAAACCCACGCCAACATGGGGCTCGAACCAGCAACCCTCTTGCTGTCAGGCGACAGTGCTACTCACTGTGCCACCGCGCAACCTTCTATGTAATGTATTATCACATGCACTAAAAGCATCCTCTCCTGATACTGTCTGTGAACCCCCCACAAGCATCAATCCCCTCAATCAGCACAGCTATGTTCTGCTAAATCCTCCACAAGCACCAAACCATCAACACAGCCACATTCTGCCCCAGCAAGTCAAAAAAAAACAAACAAACAAACTTTGTGTCTTTTTTGTAGTAGGCAGATAATAATAGCAGGGCTGTATCTTTTAGTATTATATAGAATACTTTTGTTCTGCCAGATCTCCCAGGCAGGTTTTATTTAGATTTATTTAGTTAATTTTAGTTTTTGGAATTATGTCCATTGGAAAGAAGTCCTTTCAGAAGAAGAACAGTTTTTTGAAGTATTATTTGTTTTTATTCTGTCTATTCAGTGTCCTTCAACAAGAACTATTATGGTGGGGTTCATAATATTCACAATGGTATTTTATTAGTTGTTGGTTTAACCATTGATGAGATAACGGCTTCTATGTTATTATCTTTTCAATGACATTTCTTGTCACATGTTCAAAAACAACAGCCAATATTGCATACAGTATCTATAATTTATATAATGGGTATAATTAAACAATACTTTCACTTTAACGTAAATTAGAAGTGTAATAGAAAAAAATATATAGCTGCGTCCCAAATCGCATACTTATGCACTATTCTACGCCATTTTGTAGTATAAATAGTGTAAGTAGTGTGTTCACACTGAAAACTCTAAAAATAATAAGTGCACTTAAATTACCCGGATGATGCACTCATTCAGCTGCTAAAATAAAGTGTGTAATGATGGGCACTTCACGCACTCAACGACCGCAGGTTTGCCTACGTAGCGGAAGAGGCGGAGCTATCGGACGCACATGTTGGATAACTTTATTTATTTTGGATGGTGAAAACAAAATTCTTCTACGAGAGTGATTATAGCGCCTCCCGATGGTGAATGCGGTTATACTCACGGCAGGTAATATTTGATAATTCGGTCGTTTATTTCACTGATTTGGCGTCCGTCAAACGTCATCAGGGAAACGGTTTGAATTTCCGCTTAGTAAAAAAACATTAGTGTGCCATTTGGGACAGCACTACATACATATAATATCCTGTTGAGTGTGTAAGTGCATAAGTACATAGTGCATGAGTGCATAGTGTATAGTGTGCCATTTGGGACGCAGCTTATATTTTTGCGCCATTTTGAATTTTACTCGAATACAAATACAAATACTTTTCCCCCCCTCAACAAATACAAATACCGGCTGCTCCGCACATCCCTAGTACCTACAAATGTTTGCAAACTGAATTTGCAAAGTCTTTAATACCTCCATGTTCACTTTTTATTTGCATTTAGCCTTTACAAACAGATATACGTTTATAGACATAGTTCATGGGGGTTAGCTTGACCAAAGTGATGAACAGAATCTTTTATTAGAGTTTTTTTTTTTTTTTGTATATGCGGAATATTTAACAATCAAAGTAATACCAAAATCTTACAATTATGACATCCACATCGTAAAAAAAAAACACCAGAAAAAGCATAATTCTAATAATAAAACCAATTAAAAAGAGTATAGGCTACATTAATATTGAAAAGAGTTGAGTATCTTCATAGTTCTGGTTACTTTTCATCTTGAACGTCCTTTAGGGTTCTATCTATTTATATTTGTGTATAATTACCCAATTAAATTAAAAGGTTTAACATAAAATAGTTCTTATATATTTTATACAGTCTATTTATATAGACTAATATTTTATATAACACACTTTTATTATTTAACAGAATTAATACCCCAATTAATCACATTCTTTCTATTTCATCAGCTTTGCAATAACCAGAGTCCTGATAAATATGTTTGTGAATTTTATTTTGTAAGTTTGCTCGAGTGCTATATGCCAGTTTATGCGAGGATCGACTTTATATGTATGTGTGTGTGTATGCGGGTGTATGCACGCGTCAAGTTTATATGTATATGCGCAAGTTTCATACATGTTTTAAACATAGTTTAGGTTTATATGAGAGTAAAATATAGATGTATATGCACATGTTGATAAGCAAAGTTTTATTTATATCCTACACGGCGCCTCATAGCATCTGTGTTTAGTGTCGAGAAGGTGGATGGTGAGGCGACAGGTAGGCTCAAACTTTTATGATGCCTCATTTTCTGACTCTCAATAAGTTCTATTGGGTAGAACAGATTTGATGTGCTCCCGATGCTAGTCAACACTACTCTCCCGCACATTTTGCAGAGCAAAGAAACTACAAGTTTATTGGAACTGAAAAAAGCCACAATTAAGAAGTCATACCACTGCATTAGTCTTTCCTCTCTCATCAACTAATTCACCTGCATTCTTACTTGTGGAAGCTTTTTCCCCCATATCTGTATTCAGGGCACTCATTTTGTAGCTTTCTGCTACAGAGCGATTAACCAACTGCTGCTGAGCGCTGGCAGCGTGTCTGTGATGTATGTCATCACGCAAGTGACATCAAGCTCTATCGGACAGCTGAGCACGGAAAATCATTCAGTGACAAATGATACAATGTATAAGATCTTATATATAATAAAACATGCATATGCAAATTTTAATCGAAATACCAGAAAAGGGTTTAAAAATCATGTCACCATTATTGAAAAAAAAATAAAAAATCACGATTATATATTGATATCGAATTATTGTCCAGCCCAAGGCTGTGTATAGTATAACATGTTAGCAGCAGTTTCAGCAAGAACTGTGGACAATTATTATGTGTATTAGATTCATACATTAGTCCACCTGATTTGCTTTCTTTTCTTCATCTGTTTTTACCTCCAGTGCCCTTTGGACTAAATCACAGACAACAGTGCTCAACCCTCAGGGAAAGACGTCATCTTTCAAAGATCTGTCTGTCACAGACAGGATCATCCCATAGCAATAGGATCAGGTACCAGGACTCCAAAGAGGGGATAAAGATGTGAAGGAAGTGGAGGCTGGGATAAGTTAGGGCGAACGATAAAAGGACTTTAAGTCACTTACTCAGACAGTACCAGGTAAGAAAAACCTAAAGTTTAATATTCAATACATAAAAATTATTCAATAAATCCCAAATCAAGTTAAATATAAATACAATAAATAAAAAACTAAATATTTTAAATAATTTAAAAGTTAACTATCTGACAAAAGAACAATGAACATCATAGTGTTCAAGAGCGTTTGCTTGTGGTAACAGCAAACCAGAGAGGCCAAAAATTACGTTCAAGAACATTTAATTTAAGATTCCTTTCTGGTGAAATGCCCATCCTAATTCCATCTGAAATGCACAATCCCTAACAATTTTCAGATACAGCTGAAAACTCATTTCTTCCATGCAAAATGAATACAAAAAAATTAGTTTTATGTTGTAATTATCAGTAAAAATAAAGAGATGGCTGGTGAATGTGTGGCATGTTTGGCTGCTTAACCTGGCTAGACAGAAAACAATTCCCCTGTTTGAATACTTTACATAACCAACACAAATGAATGCAAAGTAAAACATTTGAGAAGTCATGCACTAAAATCTGGTCTTTAGAATGTAACTTAAACAGTTTACATTTTGTTTAGTTTTCATTAAGGTTTTCTTTTGGTAAATGTTTTAGAAGGCACAAGGCAAAATCTGCTATAAAACTAACTTTTTATTAGTACAAATGTTTTAACTAGTATATAGTTTTCAAGTACTTCAGAGAATGTTGTAAAACATATGCAGAATAAGGCCGTACTCACACTAGGTACAGTTGCCTCGAACCGGGCCAAAGCACGCTTGTAGCCCCTCCCGTCTCCCCCGACGGCCCGCACTCACACCACAATCAGGCCTCGGCACGCTTACGTCAGCGCTGCTGCGCTGTTCAGTGAGTAGCGCTCTCACTCAGTAGCACAGTGGAGAATTCTCTAGTTACATCGGTTTAGTTGTTTGTTATGCAGTGACATGCAGTCAAATTATTCGCCAAACAGTCCTTAGGGATGCGGTGACACGCAGTCAGATATTTCGCCGAACAGATCCGCCACTTTTGGCGCTCATAAAAATTATAAAACCCTCGTGCTGCAGGAATGAGGAGGTCTGCTGAAGGTGCGCAGCTGTCGTGTAGTGAGGAGTTTGCGTATTTAATGAACTACGGCAGTTTGCGTTCAATGAACAGTAAGAATGATTAAAAAATCCATATGTAACAGTCCCTTAAGTCACGTCTCGCTTTCAGTTTCAGGCGTTTTGCACTCACACTACAAGTGTACCGCGCCAAAGCCCAAGTGAACCGCGCTCAGGCACACCTCTTCCAACCAGGCCAGGGCCGGCCAAGTGAACCGTGCTTGAGCCCGAATATTGGCATTGGACAATTAAAAAAACAAAACAAAAAAAAAACATTGAGGCCAGTAATGCTCGGTATTGCACAGCTCTAAACCTTAATGTTAGTTGTTATTATTACAAGTGGACCCACCTGTCTGTTTATTTCAGCTCCTCTGTGTATAAGCCACAAAAGGCATTCTGGATGTCCTCCAAATGCAGCAATGTGTGCTGGAGTCTGGGCAAATCGGGTCGTCAGTATGTTCACTTCACATCCCACCTGCACCAGCCTCATAACACACTCCAGCTGTTTTTTTGACAGACAGAAAAATAAAATCAACAATTAACATTTGCATGATTTGCACATTTTCCCTGTTTCTTGCAGAATAATCAGTCAGTGAAGATTTCACAGCTGTGAACAGTTAGACATTTAACAATTTCTCACAGAATAACTATTTGAGGCTCATGCTCTGCTGTCAGGGACCAGCAGCTGTGTTGAGTTTTTAATAACACCATTTGATGACTCATTCCCCTGTTCTCTGGCTCTGTATCCCATTTATGACACAAACCAGACCCTTTATTAAAAGAAAAAAAGTCCTATCACTACGATAAACAATCAAACATTTTTGTTTTACAAGAAAGAACAGTTTAGATTTTAAATTCCCTGTTTTGGCGCGTGGCGTTTTATTGGTTTTCATCCAGCCAATGAATGAACCGGTACGCTTGCGCGCCTGATGTTGCTGTTCTCTGGCTTTTGTAAATGTTAATTGATTCTTCCAACTTCGAAGCGATCCGAAACAAAATGTGATCAAAGCACAAAGCAGCAGCAATTAATGTATACGCATAGCTACTTTTATTCTAGTCAATTTAACGAACAAAGTATACATGTTACTTATGCTAACGTTGAACGCTCAAAGACGAACGAGGAAGACTAGCGTTCAGATGAGTAACTTGGATATAAGGCAAACATAATAATAAGCTCAACTGAAACACGCATTAAGCAATAATCTGTTCTTCCCAGCATGCGAGTTTGCACGCACACACAGTGAATTATATGACCTGCTTTCCGCTGATGGCCTTATCGTACACAAGCGATACAGTAACTATTTTTATATCGCTGATGTTTGTTAACATATTAAAGATTTCTTTGTCCACGTGCTGTCGTTCGGTTCTCACTGACAGGTCTGTCTGCGTTTGTTATTCCTTAAATCAGTGGACACACACCTCTGTCTCCGGAAGCCACTGTGCTTAGAAGAGGACTAACGTTATAGAAGAAAACATAACTCTAACAGAATACTGTACTTATAATACCTTCCCGAAGTGTGCTGCCCAATGAATAGGGGTCCAGCCGTAAAAAGAGTCTTCGGCAACCAAGTCTGCCTGGTTGGTTGAGCGCTGAAGCAGCGAGCACAGTGCGCCGACATCTCCATCCCTGCATGCGCGGTGAAGCGGGTAACGTATGTTGAGCACTTCGTCGTTGGAGAAACCGGACTCCACTCCTACAGACATGGTCTGTGTCTTGGAAACCCCAATTTGTTAGGTTTACGAAAGCCCCAAGGTGAGCAAGCCGGCGTGCGTGCTCAGAAAACACCGACCACGCACACAAAGAAGGCAGTGGGACTGACCTGAACACACTGTGAAGTAAGTGAGCTCTCTGAAGTGTACTTCAATGGCCGTTTGGAAATCCAGGACTGGAATATTTCTAGGGCTGTGGATTAGGTTTGACCTAAAAAAAATAAAAAAAATCGTGACGTATAGAAAAACACGCCATGGATTTTTAAAACGCGTGTTGAGGAAATCTAAGGCAACAGACAAATTAAATTTAATTCATACATTTAAAGTTCGTTATATTATTTTATAAAAATAATAATAATCTTTTTCGCTAAGTATATCAGTTATTATTTTGCTCGTAAATGATATGCTGTTATTGCCATTGCTATTATTATTATTATTAACAAATAATAATAATAATTATTATTATTATTATAATTATCATCATTATTATTATCATTATTATTATTATTATTAATAATAATAATATTAGTATTATTATTATTGAATAGTAATAGGAACGCGGGGAGAACAGGCAAACTCCACACAGAAATGGCAACTGACCCAGCCGAGGCATGAAACAGCGACCTTCTTGATGTGAGGCAACAGCTCACATGAAGCTGCGCCGCCGCGTCACTATTATTATTATTATTATTATTATTATTATTATTATTATATTATTACTGGGTACTCTGGTTTCCCCCATAGTCAAAACCAAAGCAAGTTGGCCTTAGTGTATGTATACATGATGCGCTGTGGAAAATAAATGCTGGAATATTTGGAGGTTTATTCCGCTGTGGCGACCCAAGCTTACACTAAGCTTTCATTCACGTAGATAAAAAAAAGAATATATAGCCTATATACTCTGCCAATGCACAAAAATGTCACACACTTTCAGACCAACTTTAATTACAGCAATAGCATTTTTTTAATATGCCAAGATCTTGATTTGATGATGGGATGGCATTCTTTAACTATTTGAGCTCAATGAATCCTTTGAATCATGGATCTGTCATCTTGGAAGATGCCTGTGTCGTTAGGCACATTCAGTGTTCACGTAGTCAAATAACTTTATTCTTTAGGCACAGGTTTTTAAGGCTTTATTTATTTTAGGCTTTATATTTCTTTTAGGCATATGTAGCACAGCATAAAGTGATACCATGTCTATATAGTGTCAATGTGGGAGCACCACACATATCATTTTATCCACATCTCTTCTGATTCTGATACCCAGATAACTCTGGAATAGTTCTGGAGTCACCACCACATGACCTTCCCCTATTAGAGCTAAATCTTTATGCTCTCTATAAAATTAAAGCTCTGACGCGTCATGCATTTTTCCCAGATTAGCCATAAGGCTTTCTTAAGGCTACACGTTTGCATGCGTGTAGAAATATTTTAGCACTTAAACATAACTGTGACTTCCATGTTATTGTATGTTTTGATTTTACCAGAGATTCACATAGTGACACACATCAATTTCCTTTTTCATTAAACAGTTGACCACATTGGGAAATCTTTGCTTCAACCAACTTAAAAAAAATAATAATAAAGAATATATGTTATTCCAGAATAAATAATGAATGAGGAGAAAAGTTGTGCAACAATCTGCACACCTATGAAAGTTAGACAACGTAGCCGGTTTTCAATTGCTAATAAATAAAAAGTAAATCTAAAAAAATATGGAGAGAAATATATTGTGAAATAAAGTTCCGGTTAGACTTTTGAGAAAGTGTTAGGCCTAAGCCTACATTACCTAATAATCATTTAGCAGATGCTTTGTCCAAAAGTGACTTAATTATTAGGTATTAAGTGATTTAAGAATATTAATAAACTCTTAAGTAATTAAAGTAGAATAATATTTTGAGACTGATTGAGTAGCGCTCCGAACATAGGAGGGCGCTAATGACTTAACGTTAGGGATCTTTTAAACAGTTAAGCACTTTCAAAATGAAGGCCGTCGATCCAGTTAACGTTCCGTCTTCATCTGCAGTACAGGTAACGTTAAGTTTTATTCACTGTTTTATTTCTTTTTTCCATTTTCACAGACTTTAAGTTTGTGCTTGAGCAACTATGTGACTAGGTAGATGAACGCTAACTGCAAGTGTTTAGCAGGCTAATATGCTAATTAAATATTTAAATTGTCTGTGCTTCTGTAACCGTAGAAAGACTTTTGTAAAGATTGTTTCACCGCAAAATAATTTTACTCGAATTTTAACAAGTCTCTTATAATACCTCATATAGTTTGAAAGAAAACCAAACTGGAAAACCAGCAATAATGTTACCACAAGATGTCACTGTCCCACAGATAATACCATCAGTTCGTAAATTACGTTATACTATATTCAGTGCCGTTGCGTTTGTTCATCTTTAACAGTAAGTAAGCAAGCATTATCTAACTATTGTGTTTAAAGGTTGTTGGATCAGACGGCTTTGTTCAAGTCAGAAAGCGAGACTTGGAGAGATTGGAGGCAGAAGTCAGGACTCTACGAGAACTTATGCCAAAAGTAATCAATAGTGACTTGATTGATACTATCCATGAAGGACGGTCTCTGGACGCATGTAAGTTACGTAGCATAGCGAACTTTCTTTCCTACGTAGCAACATGTCTCGGTTATGACACAGTGAACAACTGTAAAGGGGTTGGAGGGTCAGAAATCTGTCAGAATTAAAGTGCTCAAATGTTATTTTCCTACACTGCTTTGCCGTTGGCTTTAAGCCATCATTGGCTTTAAACCAAAATTTAAGCTTGTCTAAGCAAATTTAGCTTTTCTAGTTAAAAATTGCAATTGAATTAAAATTTCTGTATTTATTTTACATTCATCCAGATTGTAAAACAATGCAAAGTCAGATTTTTACAAACATAGACAGTAACAATAGTTATTGGTAACAATAGCTGACATCAAACACAGACATGGAAAGGAAAAAAGAGGAAAACACACACAAACACGTATACCAAAAACACATTAAACAGCCTAGAAAAATATAAATAATTATATAAATAATAATTAAAAACAGTAAATTAATTATATAACTAAATGGGAAACAATGCCTACATGTGTACAACCTCAAAACTGAAATTCAAGATAATTTAAATTTGAAAGTGGTTCCAGCAAACTCAGAAAATTAACTTTTAAAAGGACAATTTAAAGTTGATAAAGTGCTGTATTATACTAAATGGCAAAAAAAGATGTAGTCATCTGATAATTTTGACTGGTGACTTACTGTTTTAAATTGTTTTTGACTTTTATATAGTTCAAGAACTCTGTGATCGTGAGCAGCAAGAAAGAGAGAATTGTCTACATATTCAAACCAGACTAGATGCTGCCCTGAATGAGTGTCAGAATGAGAAACAGGTACTATAACAGAAAGGATGAGAGACTGCAGAGACCACACTGAAGTGAAACATAATTTAGTTTAAGATTCTAGAAAAGCATATACACAAATAACATTTTTACATACTATTTAAATTTTTCTATAAACTACTTTTAATTATCACACAGAAGGTGTCTATATAGAGCATCTTAAATTAGATCATGCAAGACTTTAAATATAAGTAAATAGTATCCATTATTTGAACTCATTTTTTATTTGTACTGTATTATAGCGTTGTCATGCTCTTAGAAAAGCTGTGTATGTTTATGTCTTCTCATATACATTTGTAGGAGAAGCTGGTTCTTAAGCAGCAGTTATGGGAATGCAGAGGACAGCTTCAGCAGCAGAAAGACTTTTGTACTGAGCTGGGTGCTTCATGTTGCACGTTGCTGTGGAGTGCATCTCAGAAGGAGGAAGCCATCAGAGACATATTGGCTAATGTGAGTTTAAGTTTGAGTTTGATTGAACACAATTAAAAGTTGTTATCTAGATAGTTTAAAGTGTACCATTATGGTTTTTCTAGTATTAGATTTAATGTAGTCATTAATGTAGCTGTATGTGAATTGCAAAAAAGTTTAAAATATCACAGTGGATGAAAAATTTAATGTTCAGCTCCCCTAAAAAAAAACAACAACTTGAATTTGAACTGACTGAAATGAGTCATCAGTAAATCCAGCTTTACTATCTGCACATACATACATAGGTTTGTTTTATAGTCTTATAGTTGGATTATTTATATTATTGTTGATACTTATTGTTTAAATGAGTTAATTCCCTCTTTTAATAAAAATAAGAATGGCCAATCAAGAATGGTCGATAGAGACAGATGTAAATGTTTTTAATAAACAAATAATGTAAATAAAATTAATGAATAAAATGCTGGCAGCGTGGTGGTGCAGTGGGTAGCCCTGTCACCTCACAGCAAGAAGGACGCTGGGTCATTTGGCATTTATGTGTTGAGTTTGCATGTTCTCCCCTTGTTCGTGTAGGTTTCCCCCACATTTCAAAGACATGCGCTATTGGTGAATTGGGTAGGCTAAATTGTGCATAGTGTATGTGTGTGAATGAGAGTGTACGGGTGTTTCTCAGTGATGAGTTGCAGCTGGAAGGGCATCCGCTGCAAAGAACATATGCTGGATTAGTTGGCGGTTCATTCCACTGTGGCAACCCCTGATTAATAAAGGGACTAAGCAAAAAGAAAGAAAATGAATGAATGAATGAAATCGTTGCATAGATTGAAGTCTTCTGTCCGCAAATATGCTACTTAGTATATTAGCTACTTATATTTTCTAATATTTTTTCTTGTTCTACTTTGAATACTCTTAATATGTCTAAGTGTACACATAATATATCCAAGTAGGAACTTCAGATTTCATTTGATTGGCACTGAACAAAAAGTCCTTTACTAAAGCGATTTAATATCAATAAGTGAACAGTGACCCCCCTACTTTTGTTTCATAATGAACATGGCCTATTGATTTAGTTGTTATTATAGTAAAGGAGCACTCCATATCTTTTAGAAAAATAGACTCATTTGACACTTTCCTAGAGTTAAAAAGTTGAGTTTTACTTTTTTTGAATCCATTCAACCGATCTCTGGGTTTTGGCAGGAGCACTCTTAGCTTATCTTTGCATAGATCTTTGCAACAAGACAT